CTCTACCACTGAGCCACCTTCCCAGTCCCAGTTTTGGTGGTTCTTACTGACAAATACACACACAAAAAAATGATGCATTTCTGGTGAATGGTTTCAAAGGGCTTACAATCTAAAGTGTATATATGTTTACCAAACTAAAGCGCTTATCACTACAGTAACAGCCATTAACAGATAAGTTTATGAAATACTATAAAGTAAGCTTAAATTAGTGTTTTTCATATGCAAATCTGTAGCATATTTGTGTTCTACAAATGAACTAACTGAAGGGTTACAGTTTAAGTAAAAAACAGACTTACATTAAAGAATTTTAAGATTAGTCCACAGTGAAACATTATCCTCATCTAGTACGTGTGTTCCAAAAGAAAAAAAAAAAAGCCTATAAAGTTTAGACCACCCACAAAGTGGCCCACTAGCCCTTTGGTTGGTCTTAGGATGCATTTATTATATGGGCTGACTGGTTTGGTAAGAGATTTATCTCCCCGTCCCCCATGGGCCCTATATTGACTCCACTTTGGCCTTGTGTTCTTGGTAGACCAACCATAGCCATAGTGAGCTCTATTGGTTTCACATCCTATATATTAAGTTCCTTTATCAAATACTGAGCATTTCTGAGTCATGTAAACCTCAGGATAAATTGGAGTAAGTATAAAATGATTGAATTGCTATTATGAGTAAATCTCATCACATTAAAAAATGTGTTCTGGGCATCGGTGGCTCATGCCTATAATCCTAGCTACTCAGGAGGCTGAGATCTGAGGATCTGAGGATTGAGGTTCAAAGCCAGCCCAGGCAGGAAACTGTGAGACTCATCTCTGGTAAACCACTCAGAAAACCGGAAGTGGTGCTGTGGCTCAAGTGGTAGAGTGTTCACCTTGAACTGAAATGCTGAGGGATAGAGCCCAGGCCCAGAGTTTAAAGCCCCACAGCCGATAAAAAGTGTGTTTGTGTGACCACTGAGAAGACAGCTAAAGTTTGTATATTTTAATTTCTGTATTCCTTTGAAGAACTTATCCATTAAATTTCCTTGGGACTTGTGAAGTATTTTCAAGAGCACAGAAAAGGATTTAGTAAAAACAGCAGCTTACCATAAATAGTGACCATTTGAGAAATAAAAACTGTCACAAGCCCAGCAGTGTCTCGAATCATTGACTTCTAATGTGTTTCAGATTGTGTAAAAATGTTCTCTGGAAAATAATATCACATTGTTGCTATTGTTATATCCCCCAAAATAAGTATAACACACTTCTTAAATCAGATAATTTTAATTCTCACAGCAGTTTTTCGTTTTTTGTCAGTCATGGGGCTTGAACTCTGGGCTCAGGTACTGTCCCTGAACTTTTCAGCTCAAGACTATCACTCTGCCACTTGAGCCACATTACTACTTCCAGTTTTCTGGTAGTTAATTGAAGATGAGAGTCTCATGACCTTTCCTTACTGCCTGGGCTGGCTTTGAATTGTGATCCTCAGATCTCAGCCTCCTGAGCTAGGATTATAGGCATGAGCCACTGGTGACCGGCTTCTCACAGCTTTTTTAAAACAGATTTTTACAAATAAAGACTTGGCAGTGTTTTTCCCAAAATACATGAACTACTGAGTACGAAGAGTCACATAGAAATGGATGCTAATGGCTTATGAATATAATCCTAGTTACTCAGGAAGCTTGAGGTTGGAGGATTTTGGTTTGAAGCCATACTGAGCAATAAAGTCTGTGAGACTCTTTATCTCCAGTTAGCCACTTTAAAAGAAACCAAAATTATTGTTGAGCACCAGTGGCTCATGCCTGTAATCCTAGCTATTGAAGAGGCTGAGATCTGAGGATGACTGTTCAAAGCCAGCTGGGACAAGAAATTCCGTGAAATTCTTATCACCAAGCACTTGAAAACTGGAAGTGGTACTGTGACTCAAGTGGTAGAATGCTCACCTTGAGCTGAAGAGCTCAGGGACAGTGCCCAGGCTGAGTTCAAGACCCATGACCTACACAAAAAAATAGAAAAGAAAAATTAAAAAAAAAAAAAAAACAGAAGTTGAGGTATGGCTCAAGTGGTGGAGTGCCAGCTTGAGTGGAAAAAGCCAAGGTACAGCACCCAGGCCCTGAGTTCAAGCCCCACTGCAGGTACACACACACAAATGTGTACTGTGGAGAAAACTTATGTGTATAATGTATTGTTTTGATTTTAACCCTGTCTTGGTGCCTGTACTATGATTAAATATTTATATAACTTCTTGAAAAGTTATGTTTTTGTTTTCTTCTCAGATGCTTTAGCATTCATATAGCTATTTGTTGCATACTAAACAGTTCTGGACTTGTCATCTAGTCATGATTCAAGGAGAATCTAAATTAGAGACTCAGAACCTTTTGTCCTTCCAAACAAGTAAATGAACAAAGCTATTGCTGTTTCTTGCCTGGGCTTTGTTCTTACCTCTTATCTAGCCCCATATCCTGGAAGCCTACTGCCTTGCTTCAAATGTTATGCTAAGCTTCTACATGTGATAGATCAGTATTTTTGTGCTCCTTCAGGTTGTTAGCCAATACCCAAGATGGAGGTTTAAAGGGCTGGCATCAATGACTACAGCTAGGAGAGAGATTCAGTGTGTTTCCCCTTCAGACTTAAATATTATAATTCTGCCTAATCTGTCAGCCAAGTGTTTGCCTAGTTAGATTCACTGTCATCTAACCAGAATGTGTTTTGCTGTTGCAGGTTTATCGGCAAGACTGTGAAACTTTCGGGATGGTGGTGAAAATGCTGATTGAAAAAGATCCTTCATTAGAACAGTCAATACAGTTTGCACTGAGGCAGAATTTACATGAAATAGGTGAGCGTTGTGTTGAAGAATTGAAGCATTTCATTGCAGAGTATGATAATTCTGCTCAAGATTTTGGAGAACATTTTTAGAAGAATTAGTGTTCAGGCAAAATAAACATAAAAAGAAATGTTTCTAGATATAACCACCCTCCCTCCTCCACCTGTGGAACTGTGTAAATCCTTAATGTACAGGACTTTTGTGAGGAAGAGCAATACTTTGTTTGGCCATATTTCCAACTCAGTTAAATGTCTAAAATAGTCTTTGAAAGATACTTTAACTATAATTTTTTTCTAAACATAAAGTCACTTAGTCTATACTCTCCCAGCCACTCCCCATCCCCCCAAATGATGGTTAATTTACTAAGCTTTGGTAAAGCAATCCTGGAGACCAGTTCTTTGTACTTACTCCTAGTCTACTGTCTTCCATGACATACGGTGATTTGTTTGGTCATTTGAGTGTAATTTATAGGTAGAGATCATTCCACTTAAATGATAGTCTTTTGCATTCTTGTAGCAGAGATCGCCATGTGAAAACCGTTAGCGTTTTGAGTTGTAATTTTTTTTTTTTTTTTTTTTTTTACTGAGTCTTTAGTTAGGCCTTTTGCAAGTCGGGGATACCATCCTAATAAGCAGTACCGTGGTATCTTAGTAC